GCATTCGATGCTATTTGCTTTCTTGAAGGTAACTTTTCTGACTGATATAAGATGGTATCTCAAAGTAGTTTTAATTTGCATTTTCGTAATTGCCAAGAATGTTGAACACTTTGAAAGTGATTAGTCATTTTTACTTCTTTTAAGAATTCTCAGTTCAAATTCATGAACTGTTTTTAAATTGATTTGTTTGTTTTCCAGATTCTTTGTTTTTAAGTTATTTACATATTGTGGATCTTAGTCATTTATCATATACATACACATACATACATATATACACGTAATTAAAGAAAACAAAACATGATTTTGATAGTTAGTGGTGGAGATTTGGGAAAATTTGGAGGGAACCAAAGAAAGGGTAGAAATTATATGAATACAATACTTGTATAAGAAGTTCTCAGAAAATATAATAAATAAATTTATTTTTATGTAAAATGTGTACAGTCAAATTTACAACATAGGATTATAAAGTAGTTAAAAATTAAGTACCATTCTTGCCAAAGATCCAAATATGGTCTCTAGCACTTGCGTTGAGTGGCTTACAACTGCCTGCATCTCTAATTCCAGGCAATTCAACCCCATCTTCTGGAGGTCACTGTACTTACATGCACAATCCCATTCATACACATTCACACATAACTAAAAAACAAATAAAACATTCAAGAGATAAATGTAGTACTTCATGTTCAAATTCAAGTACATGAGAGAGAACATAAGCATTCTGTTCAAATATTTAGCATATGCATTAACTTTTATTTTATTATATTTATGGGAATGACCTTAAAATCTAGCTTATTAGTAATGTGATATGCACAATATCTTGTTCTAGCTTTGCTCAGCTTCAACTTATTTTACCTGCTCAAATGAAATATTCTGTCCCTTGACCTGCATCTCCCCAATTACTCTGTAATCAATCAACCTCTGGTATCAGAATTTTACACATTGTTCCTGAGAGTTCAATATCTAAATATGTTTTGAAACACATTTCCTTTATATTCATTAATTAGAAGCTGTGATATTAGTTCTGAGAAATAGATATTAAAAGTGATATTAAAATTATTAAAATATATATTGCTAGTTCAACTTTTGATAAGAATACCTTGTTGAGAACTGACTTAAACACCGCGACATTTCACGCCACCAAGGAAGAAATGGATTAATTTTGGGAACTGGAAGTCATTTGAGGCCTCATTCATGAACCTGATGAGAAATCTCTGTTTATTTACCTTTAATTCTTGTGGAAAAAACCTCTCTCTTTTCTATCAGTCCATGTAGACACCAACTATCAAGAATTTATTAAAGAGTTTTTACTTGTTTTTCTATGTGACTATTGAGAAATGGTGATTGTAGTTGATTTTGCCATCTTGGGACCCTGTTTTCTCATTAATCTTGAAAACCAGGTTTTTTGATTTCTGTGTGCCAAAAGTATAGCAGAGTTTTATAAAGAGAAGAACTGATGCGGGCCCTCTTTGAGGCCACTGCTTGCCTGGTACTCGACAGTCGTCTGTCTCCCTTTTCTCTCTTTCTCACTTACAAAACTTCTCCACCCCTGAGTCACCTGCCAGCCTTGTTATGCTTGCTCTTCACCTTTCAGGTCCACAGGGACTAGGAAGCTCATTTCTGCACAGACACATTATGCTATAAAACTCTCGCCCTTCACTGACTGAACCATCAAGAAGACCCTACTCCAGAAGCTCAACTCATCCGATGGCACCAGGTGAGTCTGTGGGCTTCAGACTGTCCTGTGAGTAGGAGGTAGAGAACTGATCACCAAAACATGCAGGCCATGTGATCCCCTTTGACAGCAGGAGGGCAAAGCGTAGCTGATTGTTCCAGCTTTAGGAATATTTTCAGTGATAGAAATCTGTGTACTCTGGATTCCTTCAGAAATTGTTCATAAAATATGATATAGCAAAATTAAAGCAGAGCTTTGGCAAGCCAGATGACTTTAAGAGAGCATTATGAATGGGAATAAAAACATGCGTGGAGAACAAGCTAGTTACACGGTTAAGAGAGCTGTACCATGCTAGGACTGGTGACAGAGTCATCGGGCACTAGTCCTGTGACTCAGTATCTGCCATTTACTGACAGAAATGTGTTTTAAAATAATTTCCAAGTATTTAAAATGTACTGTCCTGTTCAAATTCATGACCTTTGTTCAACGTGTTTCTAGATATTTTTCCTAGTTTACCTATGTTGAAACTGAACAACTTAATTTATGAATAATCTCTAGAGCCTGAAGGATAGTCAGCCACAGATCCAGAGTTCGGTTGTCTCATCCAACTGTAGAATTTAAACAGTTCACTCTGTGCCTTATGGGAAACATCTGTGGTGGGGATGTGGATTTAAACATATGTGGAAAATAAAGAGGAGATAATTTGGAGCAAATTATAAAAAAGTATTCAGTTGACTTTGGAGCTGCCCAGCAATGTGGTTTACTACCTCAGAAAAGTGCGAAAGCTGACTGACAGCGGCAGGTTAAGCCTGGTGACCATCAGAGGTGTTGTCTAAGACCTAGAGATCCTCGAGACAATAGGGAGTTCAGAGTCGGCCTCATAGGAGTTTGAGTTTTGATTTTTAAATTCTTGCAATCTCAGACACTGGAAAGTACACTCAGAACAGGAGCTCTGGGTAACACTGTTTTCTTTTGTCTTGTGTATTCCTACAGAGGAGGGCCAGATTGCTGTAGTGTGTGGCTGGTTCAGATGCCTCAATGAGACGAGACTTCCCTTCTCCTTTTGAATGTGTGTAATTTGTATGCACGTACTTCTCTAGATTGCTCATTTTTGTCTTGTTCAGTGACTTTTACCTGAGGCCATTTTTAGCCTCATTTTTTATGTGTTTTTTTTTTTTCTGAAACAGTCAGCAATGCTCACTGATTTCTTTCCCAGTCTGCGCTCTACTACTTTTACATTATTTCATAACACCCCACGTGTAGTAAACAACTGTCAAGGTCTTTTCTTTCCACTGAGACCACCTTGAGGCTATGTATTACTGACACACATCTGTTGACGAGTGCTCAGCAGACAGAACCAGGAGCGTCTGTGCACTTCCTTGGCCGTCTAGCGTGTATAGCAAGGTGTAGACAGCCCCAGCTACAGTTCACGACACTGACATGTTTCTCTCTCCCCTCATCCTCAGATAGCACAGAACGCTGGTGCTAATGACACAATCTAAATAAACTAAAACAATCTAAAATATTTACTATCTACATAGAGTAATGACATTCAAATAAATTTAATAACATATTATTATAAATACTGCTATCTTAATTTCAAACTATAGACATAACATTGAGCTTTATAAATGAACCTTCATTTTTTCCTTAGCTGGTTTAAAGAACATTTGGATTGTATGGGCAATATTTCTTAATAAAATTGGTAGCATATAGTCTTCCAATTTGTGAGTATTAACATTGCCTACTACAATAAGGAAGACTTCAACATATTGAAGTTTGAAGAAAGAGTCCTGGTAAGAAAATTGAGAAACAAGAGTCTGTATAAGAGTTAGATGAATATGTCTGTACTTTTCTAAAGAGAAAGGAGGATTGGATGAGGGAGGGGAGCATGTGAGAAGGGGCTGAGAGGAGAGGCGTGAGGAAGGGGAAAGTGTGATGGGGCTAGGAAAAATTAATTAATAAAAAGAGCTAGATAAATATGAAAGAAAAAGACACAACATTGTAGTTCTCCAAGTGAGCCGAGAAGGCTAGATGATGGGCGTCATTCCCTTCCTCAGAGACAGTCTGTATTTACTAGGGTAGAAAGAGCACTGACTAAAGCATTTGCTGAACAGATAGGAAGACACCTTGTGTGGCATATTTTTTAGAAATTTGACATTTTAGGTCATCTTCACAGCATTTAATACTTAAAATCATCTCAGGAAACTGGTTTGTGGATTGCTGAAAGAAAATAAATACTTTCTAAATAATTTACTGCATCATATCCTCTGCAGTAAAAATATTTCTTGAAAGAGATAAATGTAGGTTTCATGTAACCATGAGGCGAGACATTCCACACCCATGCAACTTTGGACACATGACAAAGCAAAGGCTTTCTGTACAGAGGCATGTCTTTAAGCCATTGTAATGCCCTGGGTGAGAAGGATTAAAGGAGGAGGAAAGGGGCAAAGAAGTAGTCTCCCAGAAAATAATGTAAAGGTGGAAAAGTCTGGTCTATAGAAGTCTTTTCCCTGCTGCAGACAAAGGATATACTAAAACTTCAGAAATTCTTCTACACCACTTTCAGTATTATTCAAGAACTTCGGCACAAAGGGATGGTAAACTTCGATGCATGACTTTGTTGCTGATAAAGAAGAGCAAACAGCAGAGGCTGCAGGAGGGGACTTGGTGAATGTAAATGATGTGCAAGGGGCAGACAATGGAAGGTGAGGGCCACCTAAGGCCAAAACAGAAAAGATGGATAGTAATAAAAAGAAAAAAAGGACAGGTTCTCAGAGAATGGGCAGAAATAGAAAATAAACAGTTGTGCTTGGGAAAGGAACGGACGGTCAGAAGATTAATTTGCATAAGGTCTAGCGGATCCTTTCACAGAAGGACCAGACAACGCAAAGACGTGCAGCACCAGGTAAGGAAAGACAGACCTAGAAGACCTTCCTGACAAACTCGCCTTGAGAAAGCTGACTATCATCCCACGCTGGTAGATTATTCATGTCTAGAAAAATCAAGTTCTTGTGATATCTTCATTCTGTGTATTCCAGTCACAAGGAGACAAGAGTTCACAGAGGACAAGTATCAAGCACAAGGTATTTTTGATCAGGTATTTTTGGTCTTGGAGCAGAAATAAACCACCTATTGAATTTAACTTTCTCGCAGAAAATGACTCAGATAAGTAGAAACACAAAACCTTGTGACTAATTTTTAAAACCTTTTTGCCAGGGGAATGGTTGGGGTTAGAAAAAGAGGATGTCATGCTCCAAATCTTATTCCTAGCCTAGAGAGTTTACTTGGCTAATTGTTTATTTTCTCTTATATTTAATATGCCCAGTCTTAGTATGGAGCAGAAGTTGAAGCATTATACGGCTATACTGTTCTACTGACAGATTCACAATGCTGACAATCAATGGCTCAGTTTTTATGCCTTCTGTATTAACACTCGTTGGGATACCTGGCCTGGAGTCAGTGCAGTGCTGGATCGGAATTCCATTCTGTGCCATGTATATCATCGCTTTAGTTGGGAACTCCCTAATTTTAGTGATAATCAAAAGCGAAAAGAGCCTCCACATGCCCATGTACATTTTCTTGGCCATTTTGGCAGTCACAGACATTGCACTTAGCACATGCATTCTCCCCAAAATGTTGGGCATCTTCTGGTTTCATATACCACAGATTTCCTTTGATGCATGCTTGCTGCAAATGGAACTCATCCACTCATTCCAGGCAACAGAATCAGGCATCCTCCTGGCCATGGCTCTGGATCGCTATGTGGCCATCTGCAACCCCCTGAGACATGCCACCATCTTCTCTCCACAACTTATGATCTGCCTTGGAGCTGGTGTCTTACTCAGGTCTTTCATTCTCACATTCCCAATGATATTGCTCATCAAATGCCGCCTAAAGTACTACCGAACTACCATTGTTTCTCACTCTTACTGTGAACACATGGCCATTGTGAAATTGGCAGCTGAAGATATCAGAATCAACAAGGTCTGTGGCCTCCTTGTTGCCTTTGCCATCTTAGGGTTTGACATAGTCTTCATTACCTTCTCCTATGTGCGAATCTTCATCACCGTCTTCCAGCTGCCTCAGAAGGAAGCTCGATTCAAAGCCTTCAACACCTGCATTGCTCACATCTGTGTCTTCCTACAGTTCTACCTTCTGGGCTTCTTCTCTTTCTTCACTCACAGGTTTGGGGCTCACATCCCCACCTATGTGCATATCCTCCTGTCAGATCTTTACCTCTTAGTCCCACCTTTTCTCAACCCCATTGTCTATGGTGTTAAAACTAAACAAATCCGTGACAAAGTCGTGAAGATGCTTTTCTCCAATAAACCCCTGTGAACATCAAGGATTCCCTCTGTTGAAATGCTGTGTGGTTTCTAAATAGTAACTTGAATGAGTTAAATCTATGTTTTCTCCAAACAGGAAACTGTGATAGCATGTGAATTTAAGATACTTATAGTTTGTAAATGTATGTGTTAAATAAAATCAACCGTGTTTAAATCTGTTTAAATTTCAAATTATTTAATGCATTTTTCTGGCTTGTAACTATAAACATATTCTTATATGTTTCTTCCTAACACTGTGGAGCCATATTAAAAACAAATTTTGGATCAGCATTTTCTTCAGGAAAATGTCAGAGCAAATTTTGTAAATCACTCTTCTGAATTTTTAACCCAGCAAAGCCTTTAATTTTGACTATGCTTTACCTACTGGTATTTCCTTCTCATCTCTATTTTGACAAATTTTCAAACAGTTAGCGTGCTTTACATACTCTCTATAAAAATTTAGTGATAATATATAGTAAGTAATTCAGACAAAATTATATAGTGAAATCTAAAACCAATTAAAGATACCAAGTAATGTACACAGGGAAATTTCATAGGATGAACAAGAAATTATGATATTCACAAATAAGCTTTTAAAAACACTGAAGCAATGATACGAATGTAGGTGTGGATGTTGATTGGACCTTCATTCATTAGTTATTGTAATAAAAATTTGAGTTTTACTGTGCTTTATTAAAATTTAGAGTTTGAAGAGTAATTGAATACAGAGGCAAAGCTGTAGTATTTAACAATGGCTTACTGCCGGCATTGTCAGTAATTTGTCCTACCCACCTTTAAGTCACAAAATCTTAGGACACACTGCCTGACACTTATTAGAACAAAAGTGGTATTTGCATTTATGATAGCTAATATAATATACAAATGTGTACAGGAAATTATACACTCAGAAACTTATTTCATTATTATTAAGGTAAAGAAAGCATGCAAATAAAAAGATAATTATATAATCCTGAGCTAACCACACTGGCTATGAGCAGGGCCTCTGCTTCTATCTTCACATTTTCCACATCCTCTTTCTCCATGTCTTCAACTTATCGTTTTGATGTATCTATGAATGCATCAAATCATGTCTAAATTTTACTCAACAAAAGAACAAGTCTGAGATCAAATGAGCTGATTACAAGCACACACTAAAAGCATTGTAGATGGGGGAAGTCATGTTGATTTCTTATTTTGGGTAAATAATTATTTGAATAAAGAAAATAAGAAGGCATTTATAAAAGACAGGGGATTGGAGAGGGGAAAGAAGAAGGGAGGAAGGGAGGAAGGGAAGGAAAAAGAGAGCTTGAGAAAGAATCATTCAGTAGGTATTTAAACATCAATTTTGAGAAAAAAATTTTTTTTTCAAAGAAACAAACATAAGCAAGCTATGGTGCTTCCAAAATAAAATTAGTGTGTCTGATGAAATGGATTGGTAATTAAGCCCTTGCTGCTCAAGTGCAGAATTGTGATCCCCAAAACCCATGTAAATGCCAGATGGTTATGGCAGATGCCCTGCAATTTCCACAAGAGGAAAAAAGAGCAAGACTTCTGCAGTGCGAGCTGACTGAGAAAGATAAGACATTTAGGCAAGCCCTGGGTTGATTGACATACCCTGTCTTGATAAAAAAAAAATGAATCTTGACCCCAGACTCAGGCTTTCAAATGCTCTGCATACTTCTACATGATTGCCTACACGAATTTAAGAAGTTGTACATACACACACTTGCACACACCACACCACACAAACAATATGAAAAAATAGTAAACATGAAATATATTTATTGCATAATAAATAATCAATAATAAAAAGAAAGAACAATGTTTTTGGTCATAGATATAGAAAAAGATGTTTAATGAGATAATGTTGTAAAAGGAGCGGCAGGTAGAGTTAGTGGACCACATTGGAGCACCACTCTGTTGTAAAAGGAGCAGCAGGCCGCTTCCTGGCACCCAGCTCCCAGCTAACTTACACCTAAAATAATTACATGGAAATTTATTCATTTAAACACTGCCTGGCCCATTAGTCTAGCCTCTTATTGACTAAGTCTTACATATTAGTTTAACCCATCTCCATTAATGTGTATTGCCACTTGACTGTGGCTTACCGGCATGAGTCTAACCAGCGTCCACCTTGGAGAGGAGAGCCATGGTCTGCCTGACTCTGCTTTCTTTCTCCTAGCATTCTCTTTGGTCTACTCCACCTATCTAAATTCTACCCTGTCAAAAAGCCAAGGCAGTTTCTTTATTTGACCAATAAAAGCAACACACAGAAAGAAGACTCTCCTACAGCAAGATATTAGAGGTGGATAACTAAATAACATATTTTAATGCTGAATTGGAGTCATAGTCCAGTGCTTGTGACACACACACTGGTTTTATTAAACCAGTCACAGTAACACACCTTTACACAGTGTAAAGGGCTATTTCACAAATTCCTCCTTTTTGTATAAATAAACAAGAAAGGTTTTATTTCTAACATAGTAAAACTATATACAAGAAGACCAATTATGAGGTAAAAATTGCATTATTCTAGTCCATTTACATTTTGCAAATCTAGAGAAAATACTCCACTATCTATCTTATCTTACTCTAAAGTTTTATGCCTAAACCATTTTTGTCATAACTTGCATTACCACACTAAAATAATATCTTTTTAGACCTTAAAGCATGCTTTTAGATAAACAATTTAAGCTTTTATGTCTCTAAACTTTATACATTTTATACATTTTTTTAAGATTTGGTAACAAAGAAAACTATGACTATCTTGTCTTCAATTCCATCAGAGACCTGAGAAGGATAAAATATTACTCAAATAAACAAAAAGTGGAGATCAAACAACTTCTAAAACTATGAAATGATAGAACATCTGACTGCCTGGCCAGTCACTTCAGTGTTTCTCTGTAACATTGGGACATCTATTTTGGCCTGCGGGTCTAGAATATATGACAGACTTTTCTGTAAAGCAGGAACTTTAAAGGATTGTCATACTTTGTCTTGGCAAAGTTCAGCAGTCACTTTCTTTTACTTTCTGCTTGTCCAGTTTGGACAGCACACTTTCAGCAGTTGAGGCAACTCCTTGCCAAAGGTTAGCTTTTGATACATAGAAAACAAACTCCACATGGAGGTTCTTCAATGCCCATCATCCTTTTTGAAATAGTTTGGTGCTGCCAGGAGCAGACTTGTCTCACTCTCATGAAAATCCTTACGTTATCAAACATTTTAAGTGTCATATTCTGTAGGTCTTTGAAGTGTTTGGAGCCTTTCTGTCTATTTAAAATATATCTCTGTTTGATGCTGAAAACATACTTAAAATGACTTTAAGTTTGATTGTTATAGATAATTAACTACTACCCCGTATTCTTTTGTTATCCTAAATAATCTTCAAGGACTAAAACTTTACATTACCTTTTAAAATGAGCTGTATAGATACATTATCTTAAATAAAAATAGAAACACATATACAGTATTGCAAAAAAACCCTTAAACTTGTATGAATATAAAGAAATCCATACAAATTCAAAATAGACTCAACAAGCCACCCTTTTATCTCTTCATTTTTATATTATACCCTCCCCTTTTCCTTTTCAGAAGAAATTTTTCAATATAATCTCTTTTGTTTAGCTTCCTTTCTGATCATTACCAATAACAACTTCTAAACAACCAATCCCCTAAACAATTACAATCATCCATAACCCACCGAATGATCAAAAACCACCCACCCTGCCTCTTGGGGATGTGGATATTGTGCTCTCTAGACTGCTTTCTATTGTCTGGTGATACTGGCGTATTTTAGGAGACCCTGAGAAAATTGGGTTAATGGTCAAGTCCTAGAAAAGCTAGCTGTATCATTTGTTTTCCAGTCTCTGCACAAAAAGTGTAAGGCTTATCTGGAGTCCTGAGTGGAATAGTCTGTGAGGCTGGACCATCTCAGCCAGCAGTCTTGAAGCTTTTCTGAATGCAGTACTCTGAGGAAACTGCCACAGAGGCACTTTAAGAGGCTAAATCACCTAGCCCACCCATTTTTTATTGGTGTCTTATCCCCTTGCTCTGAAAACAGGCAGACATTTAAAGGTAACATACTTATATGTATCAATACATGTATAGAATGCGAGGTGTGCACATCACCCCACAAAAAAAGGACATGAAGATTTATTATTAATTATGAAAGTGTGACCTTAGCTTATTCTTGTTCCTAACTAGTTCTTATTACTTAAAGTAATCCATATTTTAATTTACATTGTGTTATGTGTATCATTTATCTTTACTTTGTATTTTTTATTCTGCTTCCTCTCCATCTTGCTGGAGACTCTGCCTTCTTCTTCCCAGAACTCTCTTTGTTCAGAAGACTTCCTACCTAGCTTTGTGCTTTTTAGTTTTTTATTAAGCCTATCAGAGTAACACATCTTCACACAGTGGAAAGAAATGTCACACAACACTCATGCACTCAGAATGTTTATTTGTACATCTAAGAATCAAATTACCAATTCATTGGTCACTAAAATTCTTTAATGCTGATAGATGTTTTTATGTATTTTAGATAGATGTCTATGAACTGAAATCACCAGCAAAATACAAGGTGCTTGTGCTGCTTGATGCTTTTACTAATGCTTAAAGGTGCAGATTGTTGATGGAGGAGGGTTATCTGTCTATTGTTACTTTCATTGGTTAATAAAGAGACTGCCTTGGCCTTTTTGATAGGCCAGCCCTTAGACGGGTGGAGTAGACAGAACAGAATTGTGGGAGAAAGAAAGCAGAGGCAGGCAGACGCCATGACTCTCCTCTCTGAGACAGCCGCAGGTTAGAATCCCCCTGGTAAGCCACCACCTCGTGGTGCTACACAGATAACTAAATATGGGTTAAATCAAAATGTGAGAATTAGCCAATAAGATGCTACAGATAATGGGCTAGGCAATGTTTAAATGAATACAGTTTCCGTGTAATTATTTCGGGTAAAGCAGGCCTGGCGGGCGGTGGAAAGTGGCCTGCCGCTCCTTTTACAGATTGTAATTTTGATCAGATGATTCATATATAGTAGGGGAATTCTTTTATTTTACTTGGAATTTTCAGGACATCAGATAATATTTGATTCTATGTATATATCCTGATTGGCTGCTGTGTTCTTCAATGAAAGACGATTCTCTGTTATTCACTTGATCTTCAATACTAGTTT